TTGAATTTTGCTATGAGAAGCTGATGATCAGAGCCACAATCAGCTCCAGGTCTTGTTTTTGCTGACTGTATAGAGCTTCTCCATCTTTGGCTGCAGAGAATATAATCAATCTGATTTTGGTATTGCCCATCTGGTGATGTCCATGTGTAGAATTGCCTCTTGCGTTGTTGAAAAAGAGTGTTTGTGATGACCAGCTTGTTCTCTTGACAAAACTCTGTTAGCCTTTGTCCTGCTTCGTTTTGAACTCCAAGGCCAAACTTCCCTGTTGTTCCTTTTATCTCCTGACACTCTACTTTAGCATTTCAATTCCCTAGAATGAGAAGAACATATTTCTTTGGTGTCAGTTCTAGAAGGTATTGTAAGTCTTCATAAAACTGGTCAGTTTCAATCTCCTCGTTATTGGTGGTTGGTGCATAAACTTGGATTACTGTGATGTTGAAAGGTCTGCCTTGGATTTGAGATTGTATCCCATTACAGCTTTTCCCACTCTTCTGTTGACTATGAAGGCTACTCCATTCCTTCTACGGGATTCTTGCCCACAATAGTAGATATGACAATAATCTGAATTGAATTTGCCCATTCCTGTCCATTTTAGTTCACTGACGCCCAGGATGCCAATGTTTATTCTTCTCATCTCCTATTTGACCACATCCAGCTTCCCAAGGTTCATAGATCTTACATTCCAGGTTCCTATGCAGTATTCTTCTTTGCAGCATCGGACTTTCCTTTCACTTGCAGGCACGTCCACAGCTGAGCATCCTTTCGGCTTTGGCCAAACCACTTCATTAGCTCTGGAGCTACTTGTCCTTGTCCTCCACTCTTCCTCAGTAACATGTTGGACGCCTTCCAACCTGAGGGGCCCATCTTCTAGTGTCATATCTTTTAGCCTTTTGTTTCTGTTCATGGGGTATTCTTGGCAAAGATACTGGAGTGGATTGCCAATTCCTACTCCAGGTGGATTGCGTTTAGTCAGAACTCTCCACTATGTCCTGTCCGTCTTGGGTGTTCCCGCACGGCATAGCCCATAGCTTCTGACTTACTCAAGCCCCTTCGCCACATCAAGGCAGCAATCCATGAAAGGATCGAAATCAGAATAGGTGATATTAAAAAAAATCTAATTAATTATGTGCTAATTAAAATTCCTTGTAGGCTTGTGGTGGCAATTGGTGAGGGATGTTGCATCTATTTCTTACGTATTCCTTTCATAAGGCAGCAATCCATGAAAGGATCAAAATCAGAATAGGTGACATTTTAAAAAAATCTAATTAATTATGTGCCAATTGAAATTCCTTGTAGGCTTGCGGTAGCAACTGGTGAGGGAAGTTGCATCTATTTCTTACGTATTCCTTTCATTAGAAGCCTTACGGTAACAGTGCTGAAGCAGCTACACAACCTGTAGATACACTTGGATATTTCACATCATTATTCCTAGCAGTGTCTCAAATCGATTAACTCCTGTCCACATTTTGTAATGCATGGCACAATGAAAACTTTTCAAGGGCTTGAAACATTGTTCTTTTGAAGAAAAGAGGAAGTATGCACGCATACACATAATAAAGATATTAACCAACTCCAACTTAACTTAATGTTTTAGAATATGTTGTGTTAATTTATAGTGGTTTTATGTTTTGTGTTATAACTGCCGCCTAGTCTGTGGACATAGAAGTAGATAAAAGGAAAGGTTAAATATATTAATAAATAAAACAAAATTGCCTTCTTCAGTCTGATGTAGGATACAATTACAGTGCCAAGCAATTTATGAGTGAAAAGAAAATTAGGCCAGAATATCACAATTGCCTCAAGACTGTATCATTCTGATTATTAGTGGCATCCAGCAAAATAAGAACCTAGGCATCTGTTTGACATTTAGTGCATGGTAATGTCCTGTTTCCTTCTGTTGATTCTTGTAAGCATATTGTAGCAAATTGTACCTCACCTGTCCGTCACCGCAGAACATTGAAGCAGGAGCCAATGAGTGAACGGAAGGCGGAGCCAAGGGGGGGGAGCTGGATATAAAGACTGGGGGATGGAGTCAGAGAGTGGGAGAGACTGTGTGTGGCTTAAAAAGTGAGGGAAGAGTGAATTAGAGAACTGTAAGATTGGAGCAGAGGGTTAAAAGAGATTTGGAATTACAGCCTACTTGCATAAATAATCGTGCATAAATAATCGTGATTATCAACCTGTAGTTAACCCCATGAGTATTTATTGATTATCAACTTCCCTGGTTAAATAAAAGACTTACGTTGTGATAACACATGTGTCTCCATACTCAATTGATATTAAAACATTCATATCTTGTGGCAGTGAAGAAGAAAGTAGAGGGAGAACTTCATGAAGGCCTGGGGGGGATAGGGACTTCCATAACTGGTGGCAGTGAAGAAGAAAGAAGAGGGAGAACTTTGTGAAGGCCTGGGGGGGATAGGGACTTCTGAGGAGATTGCGACACATATCAACATTGTTTATACTTCTAAGCATGTGCAGAGTGCATGACCAGTTATAGGTTCATATTCTGAGAACCAAAATCTCCAGAACCAGAATGTTGAGATGTTGCTGCAAGACAGGCTCAATGCAGCATCCTTCTCACTGCTACACTGCAGATATAAAGCAGTGCTGGTATTCTTAAAAAAGCTGTGCTGGTATTTGTTTACTGCATTCCTATTTATTTGTGGTGCTTCTGGTACATTCAGAACAGCTGAAACAAGGTTCCTAAGCAGTCTGCTATCTTGTTATTGATTATAAAATTGTATCTATTCGGCTTTTTTGACTACTGAGTTTACTACAGTTTCCTATGATGTACATCAGGGCACCTATTACCTTTCTATATCTCTGAGTTATGCTGGAGAGTTCATGTGCACACAACCCTTTCAGTGGCAAAGCAAAGCAAAGCAAAATGTGCTGCTTATATATCACCTCACAATGCTCAAAGGTCCCCACCCCCATATGAGCTGGGTACTCAATTTACCATCTTCACAAGGATGAAAGATTGAGTCAACCTTGAGCTGGCTATCTGAGCCTGGGATCAAACTGAGGTCATGAGCAGAGTCTTCACTGCATTACTGAAGTTTAACCTCTGCACCATGAGGCTCCTTTCCTTTTCTCCCATTGCAAATTAATCCAGGGATAGGTTAAACACAGGGAGGTCTGTGCCCACCCACCTCTGCTTCTCTGAATCCAAAGTGGACCCCCTAGCTTTTTAAAATGAACATGCAAGTGAAGTCTCCCTGCTGTCTCAGTAATGTCCTTAATTTTTTACCTCCCCTGTGTTTCTGGCTGCGTGGATTATCACTGGGCATGCCCAGAAGAATTCCCTCTCACTGTTGTTTGGTACCCTTGTTTTACATTTCAAATCAAATTAATGTGGAAGCCAATTAGAAGGAGTGGGCTTTTTAAAAAATGTGCATCAAAAGAGCATATGTTTTAAATGATTGAGAAACACTGCTGTAGAAGGTTTTTAAATTTAACAAGACTCCATCACAAGCTTACATACTATTATTAGGTAGCAGATTAATTTCTAGAAGGCATGAAAGGAAGGAAGTCTGATGAGAATGCTTGGCATTTTGAAATATTTAATTACTAATTGGGCCAAATATTAACTTAATATTTTAAAATGTTTCTGTCAAACCTATATTGTCAGAATATAAGATTTTACATGTTTTACCTACACCTCCTGAATGCACATGGCAGAGGAATTGGAAATGTCTTCCCTGTCAGTCTCACGATGCTCACGTTGCAATGTTTACCACTTTCAAAATATGTCCTACTGAAATATAATCATGTTAGTTATACTAATTATAATGCTAAGGATTATTGTAACACATTGTTTCTCTGTTCCACTTCATTGTTTTATTAGGTCCCAGAAGCCATAAGAAAGTGCCAGCGAGCTGGAATTACGGTCCGCATGGTCACTGGGGACAACATCAATACAGCTCGTGCCATTGCCATCAAGTGTGGGATCATTCATCCTGGGGAAGATTTCCTCTGCATTGAAGGAAAAGAGTTTAACAGAAGGATCCGAAACGAGAAGGGAGAAGTAAGTCATACACAAAATGGAATCCATAAAGGACCCACCAACACTGTTATTCTATTATTCTGTGTGTAATCTTGTTCTGTATATCACTGCATTAATAAGAGAGTTAATACAGGTTCAGAAAAACTGCATGTTCTTGGTGTTCAGTGTCATAAACCACCAGCAGGTAGTTTTAAACCTGATGTAGACTCTAGTTGCCATTTTGGTTTGGTAAATACACAATGCCAAATCATGGTATGGTTCTGCAACAGTTCTGCTTACATAATATCTCTTCCTATTGCATATTGTTTTTAAAATTTTCTTCTTGTTGATATTTATTGTATTTCTCATTTTCAGTGTGTTTCGTGTGGTATAAATATGTAAAATAGAATACAAATAGCAGGCTAAAAAGATAAATAAATAGTGGACAAAATTATATGCTGTAAATTTACACAAGTGGAAGCTATTCCTATAGGAATATGTGTACAGGGTGGAGGTTGAGCTGGGAGACATTTACAGTAAAAAAATCACTGATGGATCACTACCACTGGGATCAAAGCCATGCATACCAATCCGTTAGTGATTTTTGGCTATTAAAGGCCTCATCCCACCCAAAGGTTTATCTGGGGCAAAAGAGAGTTCTAGGGTGCCTTGGTTTAACATTGCCAAAAACCATAAAAATATCAAAATCAGCTTTATCTAAAAATACTTTAAATTATCACAATAAATATTCATACTTTCATAGAAGTAATAGTGTATAGGTGGTTCCTTTCCAGGAACCTTCAGCTGGTACCAAACCAATGAATTAGGATAGTGAACTGTGATCAAATGGTATTCCACGGGGTTAGAGAAACTCTAGGTCCAAGAGACTGGACAAGTGGAAACAAGCAATTGTTTAAAAGACACTACATGTTATGAAGTAGATATGTGTGAACAGAATGTTCATCCATGGCGCCAATCCACAGAGAATGGACTCATTGGGGAGCCCTTGTAAAAAAATGAGGTAAATCCAGACAACCTCTGGAAAGAAAGATCTATGTGCCCAGTCCACAGACCCTTTAATTCTTTGTAACACAGTCACTCAATTAGTAGTGAATTGTCCCAAGCCTGATGAATTCTGAAGAAGAACCACATACCGTTTAATGCAGCGGAGAGCTGTCATTCCTCTTTTCCTCACCTTCCCAAAGTGATTGGACCTATACTTTTACTTCTGACTAGACGTGCTTCCCTAATTATGAAATTTCCTGCTGCATAAATGAAAGTAGAAACACAAGCTCTCAAATATGCCTGAAATCTTGCATATGTCTATATTTTTGCCCTGCTGTTGCCTACTCCACAGTTTCCACATTGTCATGTGTACATTACTGCAGCTTTAGTTATTATTATGTATGGTGAGGTACACATGATTCTTAAGTGTACTCACTTCCAGCACAATCTACACAAAACTAAGTCCCACTGGGTAAAATGCAGCTTGCTTCTAAGTTGATATATATAAAAAGACTGCAGTCCTAGAGTTCATTACTCTTTTTAGCACTCTTTATAAACATCACAGTGATTGTCTACTCTGTATTCAATCATCCGCATTTAGTGAGTTTACTGGATGTTTATATCATTTCTAAAAGAGCTGATGCAGAAGCTGGTTCAGAAAAGACAGATTACATTATCCATCATGACTGGTTAGAACAGAAGCATATTTTTGAAGACATTTAAAGAAACATGAGATTATAAAAATAATGTGACAGTGCTACTCAAGTGAAAATGACAAGTTAGAGCCTTTTCATTTGACTGAGCAAAGTATTTCTTACTTAGGCCACACTACTTGAGAATGAGGGTGAAACACAGCAGTGATGAGAGTGTCAAAAAATACCGGGGAGCCTCACTAGTTCTTAATTTCCAGGGGGAAGTAAGAGAGACAGAGCAGGGGTGTATGTCTTAATCCTAAAGCCATATTTGTTCACAAAGGACAAAAAGGTTTCAGAAAGGATGACAGATCCTTGTTGTTATTTTCAGATTGAGCAGGAGCGCATTGACAAGATCTGGCCAAAACTCCGTGTCCTTGCTCGCTCATCTCCTACTGATAAACACACTTTAGTAAAAGGTAAGAGCTTATCAAATGGTTTGTGGTTGCTATTTTCGGCATACCAACATAATTTGGTAAAAAGGAAAACAGAAATTACCTTTTCGAATAAGCTTTTTGCTTAACCTTACATTTTGATCTCCAACTGAAAGGGAAGTAAAATACATTTACTGCCCTGCTCGCATTACCCTCTCCCTTCGCTTTGTTATCTTCTCCACAGCTAACCTGTCTTATTGCTCACGTTGCTGTGTAATGTGCACCGTATATTGATGGTGCTCCATAAATTAATGATAATCATCGTTTCTGCATTACCAGTAACAAGTATAGCATGGGGTCATCTCATTTCTTAATGCAACCCAGGAGCAAGCTGTCTGCTGAAAAATGATCCATACTAGCCTACACAGATATACATTCATAAAAGCCTGTCATTATTTTATTCTGATGTTCAAAGTCCCATTTAAAATGTTTGAGTTTCCAGCTTCACTTGGCATCAGAGCAAGTCATCTTGTAATTAACTATGAATGCTCATTCTTGGAGTTAAGCATATTCATATCTTCTAAAGCACTAAAACCTGAACAAAGCTGGTTATATGGGCCATATATGATTTTGATATAAAACAGTCCTGAATGTCTTACATAACTTCAGCTAAAGCTGCCATTACGACACAGAGCAGGGAACTGGAAGAGGAGGGGCTGATTAGACAATGCACTGGAAATGTCCCCCCCCCCCTCCAGAACAATGTTTAGCTTTTGTATTTCTAAAAGCCTTTCAGGTTACACAAAATTATTTAAGAAGTTAACTAGCATTGACTTGGATGTATGTTTCCCTGGCGTTTAACGGATGATTTAGTCTCTCATCTTTGATGCATAAGGAGTGCTGTAGGGCAAGTTGAAAAAAAGCACAAAGCTGTTGGATTATTTGCTATTAAAGATATTTCCAGATAAATGCTGGGAATTGTTGGCTCAAAAAGAAAGGACCACCAGAGTATCTACAGCCATGCAGGATACTCAGTGAACAGCGAAGGTGAAAGAAAAAGAAGTCAGCAAACAATATATATAAAGAAGTAACCCAATATACATCTACTATAAAAATATCAAACAGACTTAAAACCACCCATTTGCTATGCACGGTTTAATAAAAGAAAACGGAGAGCTTGAATGTAAAAAATGTAACAAACTTTACTAAACATACAAGACCAAAAGAATACATACGAAAAAGTGGTTGCTGGTAAAGCAGAACAAAATAACTTAACTTTAGGAGAAAAAACACAAAGCAAGCCGAATCAAAGAACAAGTAGGCATATCAAGGTAAAGGCAAGAGAGCAGCAGATATAACACACAGCAACTGCTTCTGCTATCTACTAGCATCTGGTGAAAAGGTAGGTAAGTCTTTTCCTCCTATCCAGAGAAAGAAAAAAGGACAGGTGTATCTATTACTGTAATAGTGTGAGATATGGTAGAAAAAAAGAAGGAGCCAGGCTATTAAAGAAAAAGGTACATGCATGGCTGCATTGCATTGAATTTAAGAAAAAAAAAAAACCAAGAAAAGCAAACACATACACACAGAAAGACAAAAAGTTTAATGATACATAATTGCCAGGGGGAGGGAACATTTCAAATCTAACACACCATATTCATTGGTAGTGTAAGGATTTCCTCATTTATCTTGAAAGATTTCAACCGTTCATTGACCTGACGGTGGGGAGTGGTAGTGGTGGTTTTGTCTGGTTAGCAGGTAAGAAAAAAGTTTACCACTATGAGTTCCTTAAATGTTATTATTTTGAATATTGTATATGGCACCAGGCCCAAGAGAACCTTTTAAGAGTTATATCTAGTGCTGGATTTAGATTATTTGCCTCCTTGAACACTCATTGAAATCTCTAGCAATCTGAGTAAGACTTATGTTCTCTATGTAAATGTGGGGACTTCAAAATTTGTAAGTATTAATTTGTAAATCACCCAAAGTAGATCATGCGCTAATTGGCTAGTAAATGAATGAATGAATGAATGAATGAATGAATGAACATTGTGAAGTATGCAGCACTTAGATACTCTTTGAGCTTCTTAGTATGGGAATAATATTATCATTGAAATTTTTTGGATGGGGTGTTACGTCCTTAAATTAAATTACAGCCTCATATTGTAGATGGGCATCTTGGATGCAACCTCTTTTTCTCCAGTTTTCGCCTCATCTGAGCACAGTGATGCTCTGATGTGTGCCAGTCATGATGAGTCAGTACCAGAATAACAGTATAAAGTTACATTTCATGGTATTGTGCTGGGATTGGAGATCCAAACCCTTCTAATAAAGACTTTAAGGATGGAGCTGGTCTTTTTGGAAGACAAGTCTACAAGAGTCATTCAGTAGGCTTATGAAGGTAAGCAATAGCTTTAGAAAGCAATACAGTGTAAATGAAGGCAGCATTTAGAAATGTATGGTTATTTTTTTAAAATTGTATTTGACCATAATGATAGCCAGTTCTGTATTTTCTTACTTCACAGAAGCCTCTGTCACCTTACTTAAAATTTTATGCCCTCTGGTGGCCATTTTTCAGCAGACTCATTAAGAGACATTATCTGCAGTAAAGCATCTTTGAAAAAGCAAATAAATATTGTATGGAAGGGAACACAACTCTCCACATATGTTTTCTGGGTACTGAGAGCTGCAAACCAAAATATCAGCTTCCAGGCTTATTATTAAAGCATGTTGTGTTCAGCAAGTTTTTAATGGTTTTAAAAGGTTGGGCCACCTATAATGTCAAGGATTGCAAAGAAGTTGTCCCCCTGTGAAGACCCTTCCATCTATATGAATGAGCAAGTAATAGCCTCCAGCTATGCAGTGTCTCCCCATCCACCCCCACTCCCGTAATCAACAAGGCTTACATGTAGTCACACAGTTTCTGAAAATGTGTTGCTGTATTTTGTAGGTATAATTGACAGCACCCAAGTGGAGCAGAGGCAGGTGGTAGCAGTGACTGGCGATGGGACTAATGATGGACCAGCACTTAAGAAAGCTGATGTTGGATTTGCAATGGTATATTTTACAACATGCACCTTATTACATGCACCATGGTTTTAACTGGGGGGATGGAAATAGTTTGTTCAAGACTGGGGAGAATTAATTCCACTAATTATTTCCAATGATAAAAGTGTCGTTTTGATGCTGTTTTCCCCAGTAACATTACTACATCATCTTCTCTCTGGGAATAAGACAAAAATGTTTTGAAATTCCTCCAGCCTCCCTCTCCATGGCCATTTGTGGAGCTGTATTATTATTATTATTATTATTATTATTATTATTATTATTATTATTATTATTATTATTATTATTATTATTATTATTATTATTATTATTATTATTAATTTACTGGCCAGGTATGTAAACCATACCCGGAATTTAATATGGCTACCGGCCACACTTAAAAACAATACACACACACACACACACACACACCATAAACAGAAAAAATCACA